TTGCTGTGGAGCTGCTCAAGGTGCTCATAGAGGAGCTGAGGAAGCGAGAAGGTGAGTGAGGTGATGCCATTGCTGGTGCCTGTGCTCATCCCTGGGAACCTGCAGGAAGGGAGGTTTATCCTGAGAGAAGCAAAGCCTCCCTCTGAGCACGTTACCTGCAGAACCCCTTCAGTGCACAGCAGAAGGCCTGGCCTTTGGGGTGGGGTGAGTTTGGTGAGAGGGACGTCCCTCTGGAAGCGATCAGTGATGGTGCCCACAGTGCGTCAGCTTGGGAATTGGCCAGCCCTGTTTTTCAGGGATGAGTGAGTTCTTTTCCAAGGTTGCTGAATTAGAAAGGGTTGTCTAAAGGAAAAGAAGTGTGGAGCACACAAATGAGTAAACAGGCCTGACTGAGGGAACTGAGTCTGAGTTTCTTGTTCCCTCCCTGCATGAAGAAATAAGGCAAAAAAAGCCCATTTCCAGGTTGCACCTTGAGTGCAAGGTTGAATTCCTCTGGAGTGAGTATTTCTCAGGAGGAGAGAGGAATTAAAAAGACAAATCTGCAGGATGGTCTGAGACTCTAAAGGAGAGACTTGAAACTTTTGAGGATTTGAGTATCCTCAGGGCAGATGGGTGGTGTCCCCTTCGTGGGGGCAGTGTCAGTCTCCTACTGAGACCTCTCTTTTTTCACAGAAAGAAAAAGGAAGGCAAAGGCCTCAAAGGTCCAGGGATCATGCACAAAGGAGGACTTCCAGGAGCTCATCCAACAAATGAAAGCTATGTTTGAAGATCTCCAGAAATTGCAGGAATCCTGTAAGTGTGATATTCAGCTGCTCAGAGAAGACCTGAACAAGGAACTAGGTGATCAGGGCCATTCCCAAGCAGACTTCCATCTCTGTGAACTCTAAAGCTGCTCTACAGGCAAACCACTCTGAGAACTCATCCTGCACAGCTTTTCAGAGGGGTTGGAGAAGGATGGACCAACAATTTTTTTTCCACACATTTACTGGGAATTTCTCATGTTGCAGCTTGTGCCTGTTACCTCTTACCTGATGAAGGCACATCTCCAAGAAGATCCTTTATGGGGAAAGAAGCGTGGCAAGGGCATTGAGCCCCAAACCAGTCCCCAAGTCTTACAGATATTGTTACCTGGGGTGGTGGTGGAGTCTCCATCCTTGGAGATATATTTAAAAGTCCCTGGATGAGGTTCTGGCCATGCAGCTCCAGGTGTCCCATCTGGGTTGGACCAGATGCTCTCTGGAGGTCCCTTGCAACCTCTCCTTGTCTGTGTTCCTGTGATTCTGTACAGGGCACGAGACATCTGAAACCACAACTTTCAGAATCTACAGAAAATCCCATCTGTCCCTAAATTCCCACTTCCAAGGG